CGTCGTCGCTTTGGCCCGGCCCCGGACCTCCCTGACTGGCACAGCCTACTCCGCCAGGGCGTGCCGATCTTTGAGTTAGACATGGATCAGATAGGTGCTGCTTTGCATGCTTTGTATGCTGACGCTTCTAGTGTTGCTGTATCTTACTACCCTGTGTACTCTAGTTTAGGTGTTTCACCCTTGTGTAGCTTAGCTTCCCCTGCTGCGACAGGCGTAGGACTGCCTAGGTTGCCTAGTCTAGTCGCTGCACCGGCTCCGTCCCCGGCCTCCGCCACTGCGTCGCTGTCCTTCACTCTCGACTCTGGTGCTTCTGCCTGCTTCTTCCGCGACCGTTCCACGCTCACGCCGCTTGCTGCACCTGCTGTTGTCTCTCTCGCTGACCCCTCTGCGGGTCCGGTCATCGCGCGCAGTTCTACGTCCCTTCCTTGTCCGGCAGTTCCCTCGGGCTCCCTTACTGGCCTCCACGTTCCCTCGTTCTCCAGGAACCTGGTTGGTGTCGGCTGTCTCCAGGACCTCGGCGTCACCACCACGTTCCCCGGGCACGAGCGGTTCGCTGTCTGTTCTGAGGCTGTCTCAGGTTCCCCCCTTGCGACGTTCCCCCGGGACCCGGTGTCCGGTCTGTTTACCCTACACACCGCTTCCCCCCCGGTTGGTGCGTCCTCCCAGGTCGCTGCAGCTTGCTCGTGTCGGTCCCTCACTCACCCCTCCCTTCTCTGGCACCACCGCTTAGGTCACCCTGCTCTCCCGCGTCTGCGTCACATGTCCCAGCACGGTCTTGTCTTAGGTCTCCCCGCGTCGCTCCCTGCCCTTCCTCCCTCGACTGCGCCACCGTGCACGCCTTGCGTCGAGGGTCGGCTCCGCCGTGCTCCTCACTCCTCCTCGCTGCGTCCTGCTACTGCCCCCCTTCAGACCCTGCACTTGGACGTTTGGGGCCCTGCCCCCGTCCCCGGACCGCGCGGTGAGCGCTACTTCCTTGTGCTCGTCGACGACTACACGCGCTACACCACGGTGTTTCCCCTGGAGCGGAAGGCCGACGTGCCCGACGTTCTTCTCCCGTGGGTTGTGGCTGCGCGTCTCCACCGCGGTCTCCCCGTGTTGTGTCTCCACTCCGACCGTGGCGGCGAGTTCGCCTCTGGTCGGCTTGGACAGTTCTGTCGTGCGGAGGGCATCACCCAGTCGTACACGTTGCCGGACTCGCCACAGCAGAATGGGGTTGCTGAGCGCCGCATCGGCTTGGTCATGGAGGTCGCCCGTACCTCCATGATCCATGCCGATGCCCCCCATTTTCTGTGGCCGTTCGCTGTTCGCTACGCGGCTCACCAGCTTAACCTGTGGCCACGCTCCCAGCGGCCGCAGGTTTCGCCGACCCTCCTTTGGACCGGGTCCCCCGGTGACGCGTCTGCGTTCCACGTCTGGGGCTGCCTTGCTCACGTTCGTGCCTCTGGCACGGACAAGCTCACTGCCCGCACTGTCCCCTGTGTCTTCCTCGGTTTCCCCCTGGACTCGTCTGACTGGCTTTTCTACCACCCGCCGTCTCACCGCTTCCTCCACTCTCGTGACGTCACCTTTGACGAGTCCGTCTCCTTCTACCGCCGCTTCCCTCACCGAGGTCTCCCAGTTGCCCCCCCCCTTTTCCTTGCTCCCTCTCCCCCGGTAGCCCCTGCCCCTCTCCCGCCTCGTCCTGCCCCGTCTGGTGTCTCCCACGTCACTCCCCTCCCGTCAGTTGTCCCCGTTGAGGAGTCTGCTGACTCTGGTGGTACCCCCGGTCCGTCCTTGCCGCGTCCCCCTTCCCCGGTGCCTCCGCCCCCACTGTCGCAGTCGTCGACCCCGCTGCCGCCGCCGTCGCCGTCGCCGCCGCAGCCGTCGCCGCCGCCGCCGCTGTCGCTGCCGCAGCCGTCGCCGCTGTCGCCGCCGCCGCAGCCGTTGCCGCCACTGCCACCGCTGCTCTCGGCCCCTGGGGGTGCTGGTGTGGAGGAGGGTGTTCGTCCTGCGGCTTCTGGGGGTGCCGCTGGTGTTGGAGGGGGTTCTCGCTCTGGGGGTGTTGGTTCTGGGGGTGCTGCTGTTGAGTGTTCTGCCGACGGTCGTTCTGCCTCTGCTGGTCCGAGAGTTCCGGCCCAGCCGTCGTTGCCGCCGCAGCAGCCGTCGCCGCCGGTTTCCGCTCTCCGCCTGCTCGGCCTTCCCTCCCCGGACCGCGCGCCGGTGTCTCCCCCACCGCCTCCTGACCTTCCTGTCTACGGTCCTGTGTTCCCGCCGCCAGACTCGTCTCCGGCCCGTCTTCCTCCTCGTTCCCCTCCTGTGTCTCCTCCGCTGTCCCCTGACCCTACCCCTCCGTCTCACGTTTGGGCTCGCCGTCCCTCCCGTGCTCGTCCCGTCTCTCCTGTCCTGCCCACCCACCCTATGTTGCTCCGTTCCCACTCGTCTCGTCCTCCCCTCCTCCCGTCCCCTCCTCCCTCGTCCCTTGCTGTTGCACCTCCTCCGTTCTCTGACTACCTCCGTTCTGCTCGTCCCCTTATCCCTCGGGTCCTTGCCTCTCTTGTTACCGACCCTACTGTTCCTGTCTCGCGCCTTGACGCGCTTGTCGCTGCTGTCGCTGACTTCGCTTCTACCCGCCGCCTTGACTACGCTACCGCTCTGGTCTCTGACCCTGCCCGTCCTCCGTCCGTCGGGGGTGCTCCTGCCCTTGGCAGTGACGTCCTAGAGGACAGGCAGTACGAGCTGGCTTTCCTTTCCGAGGCTGCTCCCCATCTCTGCTCCATGCTGTTAGTCCCTGAGGGTGACCCAGACGCCTTCGACATCCCGACCCCTCGCACCTACGCTGAGGCCACCTCGGGACCTTGGGCCTCTCAGTGGATAGCTGCCATGGAGCAGGAGATGGCATCTTGGAGATCCACCGGCACTTACGTCGACGCAGTTCCCCCGCCTGGGGTGAACGTAGTCGATGGTCGGTGGCTCTTCAAGGTGAAGCGCCCCCCTGGAGAGCCGCCTGTCTTCAAGGCGCGCTACGTGGCCAGAGGTTTCAGTCAGCGCGAGGGGGTGGACTTCTTCCAGACCTTCGCCCCGACCCCGAAGATCACCACTCTTCGGGCGCTGCTACACGTAGCAGCACAGCGTGACTACGAGCTTCACTCCCTCGACTTCTCTACTGCCTTTCTTCAGGGCAGCCTACACGAGCAGGTCTACCTGCGCCGACCACAGGGCTTCACTGGTACCTTCCCTCCTGGGACCCAGTGGCTTCTCAGGCGCCCGGTCTACGGCCTGCGTCAGGCTCCCCGCGAGTGGCACGACACGCTACGTGCCACGTTAGCAGACCTGCAGTTCTTTCCGTCCTCTGCTGACCCTTCACTGTTTGTGCGTTCCGGCCAGACTCCGTTCTACATCCTTGTCTACGTAGACGACCTGGTCTTCGCTACTCCTGACAGGGATGCACTGGCCTCTGTGAAGGCTGAGCTGCTGAAGAGACACACCTGCACTGACCTTGGAGAGCTGCGTCGCTATCTTGGCCTGCAGATCTCTAGGGACAGAGCAGCACGCACCATCACTCTGACCCAGTCACACTTGGTGCGTCAGGTCCTTCAGAGGTTCGGTCTTCAGTTCTCCTCTGCACAGCCCACACCTCTACCCGTAGACCATGGGCTCTCTGCTCCCGTTCCTGAGGAGCCAGTAGAGCCCAGTGGCCCCTACGCAGAGCTGGTGGGTTGCCTCATGTACCTGATGACTTGCACTCGCCCAGATCTCGCATACCCTCTCAGCATCCTGGCTCGCTTTGTGGCTACAGGCAGACACCGACCTCAGCACTGGTCTGCCGCTAAGAGGGTTTTGCGTTATCTTGCTAGTACATCAGGCATGGGGTTAGTGCTAGGAGGACGCAGGCCAGTGGTCCTTACTGGGCACACAGACGCTTCTTGGGCAGACGACGCTGAGACGCTCAGGTCGTCGCAGGGCTACTGTTTCAGCCTTGGTTCGGGTGCTATCTCTTGGAGATCCACTCGCTCGTCGTCTGTGGCTCAGTCTAGCTGTGAGGCTGAGATCTACGCTGGTGCCATGGCGGCACAGGAGCTCCGCTGGCTGACCTTCTTGCTCATAGACTTAGGTGAGCGGCCTAGCTCTGCCCCGGTCCTGTACGCTGACAACAGGGCCATGATACTCCTGTGTCAGGAGCCTCGGCTTGAGGGCAGAGCGAAGCATATCCAGCTGCGGTACTTCCTCCTGCGCGAGCTACAGCAGCGCCGCCAGGCCCGCGTAGTTCACTTGGCCTCAGGTGCCAACACAGCTGATATCTTTACTAAGGCGCTTGCGCCTAAAGATCATCAGCGGCACTGTGTACAGCTTGGTCTTGTTCCTGTAGCTGCTCCCCTGTTAGGATCCTGATTGTGTACTCTCTATTATATATGCTTGTCAGACTGGCCTTGTGGCCTTACAGTACCTCCAGTGGCTGGACTAGTAGTGCCACCCTGGCTTGCTTCAGTTTTGGTTGTTTTCTTGCTGACTGGTCTCCAGACCAGACCCCTGCCTCAGTGGTTGGACTAGTAGTGCCGCCCTGAGCTGTTTGCTTCTTGTTTAGTTTCACCCCTTGTCTAGCCTAGGGGGTGTGTCAACTTATACATATTATCTATGTAGAAGTTATAGGCTAGACTGAGGTATGCTTCTAGTGAGTACAACCAACTAGTATTTGTTCTAGGTTTCCACCTCTAGTAATCATTCGTTTCTACGTTAACAGAGGGGAGCAGGGGCGCTGTGCAGTACCATGTGCCAGGGAGGCCCAGAAGCTACTGGAGCAACTAGGCCACTTACATCTTCAAGGTGTCGCTGTGATCGGGAGTGTACGCCCCTAGTGCAGCAGGTGTCAACAAGAGGGGCAACGCATGGGGCGCGGTGCAGTATGTGCCGGGGAGGCCCAGAAGCTACAGGAGCAACTGGGCCACTTACATCTTCAAGGTGGTGCTGTGATCTGGAGTGTACGCCCCTAGGGCAGCCAGTAATAGTTTGGTGTATCTAGTTTCTTGCATGGTAATCATACTCATTAATGTAATGAAAATGCATGCCTCAAATTACATGTGTTTCACTACTACCGTATGTGAAATTTCATTCGTCTCGAATGAACAGCAGCAGGGGGTGTAGATGAATTTGGGGCCGAACAGAAACGATTAGACACGCCAGTAGAACCCTTGCCATGACATCAGCCCAGCAACGAGTGACCAGAAAATCACTTTCGAACAAGCTGTTACAATTGCTGCCGTTTCGTAATCGTGGCCTGCCCATAGCAGCAGGTTACGCAGAAGGGACACCTGGACGCAGCAGAAAATAAATAATTTAATTAAAGTACCGGTACCAGTTGGAATGATGCGGGAGGCTGGAAGGGTGGTCGGGGGGATGGGGAAGGCATTGTGGAGTAAGCAAGAATCGATGAACGGCGCACATAGTGTGCATGGGTGGGTGGAGAGGAGTACAGACATACAAGGCTCAAATCTGCCAGTATAAGCCAGCTGTGAAAGAGGAGAGGAGAGGAGAGGATACAAGAGGCGTGGCACTTTGAGTCGACTCCCAAGTCACCTCGTTATGTACTTACAAGGTTCTGGTCTGGGTCTTCCCAGTACAGGCCAGCAGCGATTGAGGAGAGGAGAGGCGTGGCGCATGCAAGGAAGAGGAAGAGGGAGTTCTGCCCCATCCACTCGAAGGGACAGGTGTAGAACCGCACCCCTGCTGCATCCACCTGGTGGGAGCATGGGACAGGAAAAATAGCAATAACGGGGCGCAGAGCGCACCTGTGAATGCAAAAGTATCCTCATGTCTGCCAAAGGAAGGTACTTCTCAGAGATTTGTTTCATGGATGTACGAATTGTGGCATTAATTTTTACTACCACTATAAGTGAGGAGAGAGTGCTTACGAAGAGGTAGACGAGGGAGAAGAGGAGTGCAGCAGCCCCTGCTGTTACCAGGACATAGCTTAGCGAGTACAGCTGGGCATTGAATGGCATGCCTGAGGGACAAAAAAGAGAAGAATACCGCAAGAGAAATTAAGATGCCAAGTTGTGGTTACGTCGAACGAGTAGCTATGGATAAAGCGATGTGTGCGGAAATAAACATAAGGGAGATCAAGTGAACTGTACCAGGATAGGAGATAGCGAGCCACTCGGGAATGTTTGTATGGGGGATGGCGTGGTGGAGGGAGAAGGAGAAGGGAAACTGGAGGAGGAAACCGGCTCCCATAAGGAGAGCTGATAAGAGGAGGGTGTTGACCATGCGAGCTGCATGGCTCTGAGATAGATCATGGAACAATGAGGGGAGCAGGGAGGGGGGGGAGTTGAAAGGAAGGGAAGGCAGATGAGAATGAGATAAGGTGCAAAGGGAGACCATGAGCAAGGTGCCGAGAGAGTGAGGCGAGAAGACTACTTGAAAGCTGGGGCAGGAAGAGGTCAACAGCTGGTTACCTGGAGGCTGGTGATGATATGGCCCAGGTGCAAGCCCATGAGGGCAGTGAGTGTGGCGCCTAGCGTGCTGAGGAATGGAGGGGAAAGAGAGGGTGGGGTAAGGGGAGAAACAGAGTACCACAAGGAAGAGTGGAAGAGAAACTGAGGGGGGGGGGAGGAGAGTGAGTGAGGGTGTGCAACCAAGAGAGGGGGAAGGCTGAGTTGCAGAGATTCACAGCAGAATCCACCCATCCTCACTTGCTGACACTGCCACCCTCATCAATCCCCGCAACAGCGATTCAACAACCCTTGGTGCCTCAGGCCCCAACCCGTCCCTCCCTCCTCCGCCCCTCTCCCCCCACTCCCCTCTTTCCTCCCGTTTCATCCTACACACGTCCCTTCCGTGCCCCTGCTCTCACCTGAGGAGGCCCATGGGCTCGAATGGAGCGGAGCACCACGCGGGGGGGATTGGGCGTCAGAGGAGGGGAGGGAGAGGAGTGGGGTAGGTGCGGGTTTAGGGGACGGAAGGGAGTGGTTGCTGCTGCACACCTGAAGTAGGGAGAAGGGAAGAAGCAAGTGAGTACAGAACACCCATGCAGAATGCAGACACTAGGAGGGGAGGGAGAATGCAGACGTATATTGGAAAGAGGGGCTGGAGAGGTAGAGAACGCATGCATGCGTGAGAGTGTGAAGTGCATGACCATGTGGATAGCTTACCAGTAAGTGGGAATACGGAGGTGAAGCGAGGAGGTGATTTTGCTGGGTTCTTTTTGAGAATTCTAAAAAACACCCGGCAAAATAGAGAACGCACGCATGCGTGAGAGTGTGAAGTGCGTGACCATGTGGATAGCTTACCGGTAAGTGGGAATACGGAGGTGAAGCGAGGAGGTGGTTGGTGGTGAGAAGCAGTCTGTCGATGTAGCCAGCTGCATTGCAGGCAGGGGTGAGGTCGCCAGAGCGAGAGCAGAGCACCTGATGGGGATGGTGGAAGGGATGGGGATGGGCAAGGGGTCGTGTAGGGAAGGGATGTACATGGTGAGGAAGAGAGGTGAACGTGAATAGATGTAGGCAGGTGCATTGCAGGCAGGGGTGAGGTCGCCAGAGCGAGAGCACACCACCCGATGGGGGTGGCGGAAGGATGGCAAGGCCATGAGAGCAATGGCAAGGCAAGAAATGCAGAAGAGATGCAGTGGCAAGGAAGGACAAGACGGATAAAGAGACGACTTTTGAGGGCGCCTCAAAAGGGAGGCTGGCAAGGAAGGACAAGACGCACGAGGCGCTTCCTTATCAGTAAGAGCACCAGAGTCAAAGGCGCCATCTGGTGCGTTCTAGGAGGATGGCCTGGAAACGGTTATTGCATGAACAACTCTGGTGATGTAGACGTGTCCGAGGCAGCTGCAAACTCTTCTGGGGCTTATGTGTTGGGTCAACAAACAACTGACCATCATATCTTGAAGCGTGGCGTTGACAGCAACTGTAGATTCGGGATGGAAGGATGTGTGCGAGGCATTCGGCGGGAGTGCATAGAAGGTGGTGCTGGTGGTGGTGGAGGAGGGAGAGGAGGAGGAGGAGGAGGAGGTGGGGGGAGAGAAGGTCCAGTCAGGCACGAAGAGGAGGAAGGTGAGGGCGAGATAGATGGCTGCCAGTACGAGAGAGGCCTGCCTGAAGGGAATACATCACAAGTCATAAGGCAGTAGAGGGAAGGTACGCATGTCAGGCTGAAGGGTGGAATGCAGCTGTCAGAGGTTGCAGCTGTGGTGAAACCAAAAGCAGCTACCATGAGAGACGCCTGGCTGGCGAAATGAGGACGCGCCAGCAGGGGCTCATGCAGCGGATTAAAAGGCAAGCTATCTCACGTCATGCCACGGCGTACATGAACGGAAAGCACTAACCAGGTGAAGAGTGAGAAGGAGAGCAGGCCCGAGAATCCCTCGGTGCGCCCCTCTGAGCGCCCGTCTGTGCGCCCCTCCGAGTGGCAGCCCTTGGCAGCGGACAGCAGCACCTGGGCCAGAGCTGCTACACTGTACGCGATGGCAATGCGCTGCAGCGTGCCGCAGATGCGGATGCGCGTCAGGCTGATGCCGAAGCTTAGGTCCCCTGTTTTGTGGAGGAACCCGCCTGGAAAGTGCGGGAGGGTGGAAGGAGAGGCAAGGGAAGCGCGGGCCTGTGGTGAGAGAGGAGTGTGAGGGAGAGAAGGGAGCGGGTGAGGGGAGAGGCGAGAGGGGTTTGGATGGGTGAGAAGAGCAGTGGAGATGTCAGAGCGAAAACTGAAAGAGAGGTTTACTTGTCCGATTTTACAAAGGTAGGCAGAGGGAGAGTGATCAAAGGTAGGCACTGGGCGAGTCACCTTCAAGGAAGAGGCCGAGGAGAAAAAGGCAGCAGTCCCATCTTAGGATCCTATGCACGGCAGCAGAGTGACTGTGCACGACTCTGAACGTGAGCGACGTCTCAGAACCAACCTTTATAAACATTCAGAGACAGTCACCTTCAAGGAAGAGGCCGAGGAGAAAGAGGCAGCAGGCTCGTCTGAGGATCCTATGCACGGCGGCAGAGCGGCTGTGCACGGCTCTGAACGTGAGCGCCACTGCAGCGCCCGAGGCGAAGAGGAAGAAGGGAGCCACCAGGTCTCCCAGAAGAAGTCCGTCCCAGGGGGATACCCCCATCCATGGCACCTCCGGGCCCACATCCAGAGCCACGATCATAGCCTGCCAGGAGGCGGGGAGAAAGGAAGACGTTGGAACACGGTCTTAGACATCCAAACCATCCCAGGACCACCACCACCACCAGCAGCAGTAGCGGTAGCCCGTCCCAGGGGGATACCCCCGCCCATGGCACCTCCGGGCCCACATCCAGAGACAAGATCATAGCCTGAAGTAAGGGAGAGGGGGGGGAGGGAAGTGGAGAAGGTGAATGTGTCCTTGTATTGCGGAGATTGGACACGGTCTTGAAGTTTGAGTGTGAAAGCAGGACATTCGCTAGGAATGTGGAGACGGGGTCTTGCATTGTGAAGCTTGAGAATGATCGTAGATTTGTCGTGAGATGCTGGATGTGGCCTGCGAACGTGGATGTTGGGAACTGGCGGTGCTGGAATATGCACGGGATGATGACGATGAGCCTGCAGGCGTGTGCGTTGTCCGTTGAGGTAACTCGAGGTCAGAATGGAGTACGTACGACGATGCTGATTCCTCGGAAAATGTCGAGCGACGCTAGTCGCACGGGATGATGCGACACGTGCGACGCGCTGTCTGCGCAGGGAATGTGATGCGACGGGAGGATGGGACCCATGCGACTGGTCGTGCGAAGGAGCGGCGATATCAAACCGTCCTCCATGGCTGTGCGAGGAGGCAATGAGACAATATGCGATACTATGCGATGCTATGCGATCAGCCTTCTTAGCGGTCGGCCTCTGACAGCCTTGATTATCCGGCGGCGACGACGCGCTATAAGAATGACGCCATATAAGCACAATAATCTCCAGAAACCTTAAAGCAAGATGCTTCGGGTCAATTATAGTCTTTCGATATCCAGAATGCTGTAAACGGAATGCTCTGTAAGGTGGACTTATCACCTTACACTAACGGTACTCCAGTGACATTCACAGCGATGATGGGCCTTCTAAACGCTAGCGTAAACTCCTATTGTCTCATAGACTCCCTAACCTCAGAACCCGCAATCCGTGGACAACCCAAAAGACCTGTCTGGTAGCCTCGTAGGTGGTTGCATGGCTATCCCAGGTAATCCCAGAGCCATCAGCATCTCGTTGGTGATTTGAACATTTCTCCAACGGCTCCCTCCTGTGGTCCCCAGAACTCCCATTTTGGAATTCCCAAGGCTGCTCTCGTCTCGTCGTTCCCCCTTGGAAGTTGCCGAGGTCAGTTGGCGCGAACCTTGCCAGCTTGCCTCGGGACAAAATATGTTCGGATAGCCCTCAAAATGCACTGTACAGCACAAAATGAATTTCTGTAATCATAATCATTCGACGCATTGATCTTGTCAGGGAATCTCTAGCGAGTACTGCCTAATTACCCCTGGTAATCACAACCAACCGCTTCCCACTCCTCACAAGTCTCGAGATTCATTTCATGGGGAGTTTGGGTGGTTCATTTGTTCGCTGTTTCTCGAGATAAGGAAATTGGTCTGCTAGTTCCGGGGAAATCTGTCACGCTTTACCGAGATCAATGTCGGTCCTTTCCTTGAAATTCGGAAAGACAACAGCCCCTACCGTCTCGATATGGAGTCACATTCTGAGTCAGCATTCTACAGTGCCTCTGCGTTTACTACTACTGGGCTTACCGTTGATTCTTCTGCTGTCTCTTGTGCTCCGTCCAGCACCTCCCGATAACCCCACTAGCTCCTTTGTTACACGCGAAGATGTAACCACGGAGCGGCGAAAGCTTCTGTTTTCGCTACGGAAGCCCAAGGAATGCGAGGGGGGCCCTGACGGCGCGATGGCGAACAGAGTAATCCCGATGGAAGCTGTAGCGAGTCAGCGCAAGCTGGTCGGCGGATGGCGGCCGCGAGAAGGGAAATACCTCCTGGCGCTCTGCACCACGGGGCGACTGACCAATCAGGTACCGAGAAGGGGGTGGGGGGGGGAAGGTAGGGGAAGGGCCGTCCTTCCTCCTCCTCTCCGTCGCTTACATTCTGTGCAAATGAAAGAGTTTGGAGCACGATGAAATGCCTGGTTTTGAGTCGACTCAAAGGTAGGGGAAGGGCCGTCCTTCCTCCTCCTCTCCGTCGCTTACATTCTGTGCAAATGAAAGAGTTTGGAGCACGATGCAATGCCTGGTTTTGAGTCGACTCAAAGGTAGGGGAAGGGCCGTCCTTCCTCCTCCTCTTGGTCGCTTACATTCTGTGCAAATGAATGAGTTTGGAGCACGATGCAATGCCTGGAACGGCGGCTACATTTCCTACCTACTCCTCTCACCGGCTCTCCTCCCCTCTCTTCTCCTCCCCCACTCCCTCCTCTCCCTCCGTCTTCCCCCCACCCCCACAGAGCAGCAGGAGTGCATCATGACATATTTCATTCTCTAAAATTTCCTTAACCGTACCCTCTTAATCCCTCCTCTCACCTCTCCTCCTCCCCCCTCTCTTCCCCCCCTCTCTCCTCCCCCTCCCCACAGAGCAGCAGGAGTGCATCATGACCTATTTCATATTCGCCGTGCTGCTCAACCGCACCCTCATAGTCCCTCCTCTCGCCGTCGCCCAGCACACTGGCCTCAACCTCGTCTGGCCGTGGACCACCGTCTTTAATCTCCCCAGACTCCATACCTGCCTCGCGCCCTCCTACGGCCCCCACACTATCCTCCTCCTACCAGACTACCTCACCCGCTCCCACTCCCCCCATGCTTACGTGTCACACCTAGTCTGCCTCAAGCCCACGTGTAATCATGAGTGGACGCTCAGGGTGCTGCTTCGGGAGAATCCAGGGATCAAGCTAGCGGACAAGAAAGGCCGCCCGGCCGCAGTGAACCAGAGTCTGGTGGATCGGATGGGAAAGGTGCGGCTTGAGAGGCTGCTAGAAGCCGTGAGGGTGGTGGAAGAGGAGGAGGGGAGAGAAGGGGAGGAGGGGAGAGCGGAGGAAGAGGAGGGAAGAACGGATGGGGAAAGGGGAGAGAAGGGGGAGGGGCAGGAGGAGAAAGCCTTGGGGATTGTAGAGAAAAAAGAGGAAGGAACGGGGCAGCCAGGAGGGAGTGGAGAGGCGGGCGGGATGGCAGTAGGAGGAGGAAATAGTGGAAAGGCAGCAGAGACTCGGAGATTGTTGAAAGAGGCAAACAATGGTGCAGAGGAGAGAGGAGTGAGAGCAGCAGCAGCCGCCGCTGCAGCATCCCAAGCTCCCCCACCATCAGCTGCAGCAATTGCAGCAGCACCAGAAGCAACAACCACCCAAGAACCAACAGTTTATGCAGCACCAGAAACATCAACTGCAGGAGCCATGGCAACACCATCTGCTGCCGCACAAGCAGCACCACCACCACCAGAAGCAGCAGCTGCTGCTGCAGTAGCATCACCCACACCACCAGAAGCAGCAGCCGCTGCTGCACTAGCAGCGGCAGCACCACCACCACCACCAGCACCGGCTGTAGCAGTGGCAGCGGCAGCACCAGCTGCTGCAGCCCCTGGCGGAGATGAAAACTCCGATCTGCCTGCGGGCCACATCCTGACCTTTGGTGATTTGGCGGGAACGTCTGTGATTGGCCACGACTGGCTGCTGGAGTCAGCTCTGCCCCTCGTTACAGTGCCACCGGATTGCAGCAACCTGTGGCGGCCGCATGCTGCTGTGATGGCGTTCGTGGATGGTTTCATTGCTGCTCACCTTGGGTCGCAATACATGGCGGTGCACCTCAGGAGGTGAGCCGTTTGTTCCTGTTGCATCTGAGAGAGAAGGTGATTCGCTGCTGCCTTGTGGGTTAGATTGCAGGTGGTGGCCACACGCGGCTGTGATGGCGTTCAGGGATGGCTTCACTGCGGCTCACCTTGGGTCGCAGTACATGGAGATGGCCTTGGCTCACCGTGCACCTCAGGAGGTGTTCCATCATCGGCTGGCCTTCATCTCTTTCAAGGAGGCCATCCAGATGCTGTTTCGTTGTCTCAAAGCAGTAACCCCTCGTATCCCCTTCTTCCACCAACCCCCACCCACGCCACTTTCCCTCCCTTCCTACGCAAATTACCCTTTCCAACTCAGGGTTGGCTTCCACAGCCATCTTAATCAGCAGAGCTACAAGCTCCATGATGTCCTCCCCATAGCAGCAGTGCTGTCCCCAAAGCCCCTCCCGTTTCCTCTTGAAATCCCCCCCCAGGGATGACTTTTACGGCCACCTGAAGCAGCAGTGCTACGAGCACCATGTTTACTTTCCTGCCTATCGCTGCTGTGCTTGCTCCCCTCACCCCACCCACCCCCGCTTTTCCCCCCGTTCTCCTCTTAAAACCCAACTCAGGGATGACTTCTACGGCCACCTGAAGAAGCAGAGCTACAAGCGCCACGTGTTCCTCCCTATAGCAGCAGTTGGCACTTTTATTTTGTCCCGCGCCGCTGCCGCTGGGCTGAATACTGTGCTGCTGGCCACTGATGGCACTGCCGCTGAAGTAGACATGTTGACACGCATGATCACAGGTGAGTGGGGGGTTTGTTGGGTGTTCGAGGTTGGTAAGTTCGAGATTGGTAAGTTCACTCAGTATCGGCCTTGAATTTACTTGACAAACACCTGCGCTGCTGCTGGGCTGAATACTGTGCTGCTGGCCACTGACGGCTTTGGTGCAGCTGAAGTAGACATGCCGACACGCATGTTTGCAAGTGAGGGGGTTGATCGGCATGCCATAGCACGTCCTAACTTCCGATCACTGAACACCAGACTGAGTCTCATTTCACCAAGGCTGCTTGCTCCCCCGTTCAATGTCTCTGCTCCCCCTCTTCCGCCCATCACCCTTCCCATCACGTCTTTGAACCCACCGCCACCCCACCCCCCACCCAGCCACCAACGCCACCAGGCTAGTGACCCTTGCACGAGACCTGCGTTGCTTGGAGCGACACGCACAATGAGCCATGATGGCAGGCGCTGCCGCTCGTATTCTCCAACCTCTTGCATTGTCCCCTTCTCCTCCCTTCTTTCACTGTCCACCCAGCTGCCAACGCCACCAGGCTAGTGACCCTGCATGAGAACCGCTTCGCCTGGAGCAACACACACAGCGAGCCGTGGGGGCAGGCACTGCTGGCTTAGGAGAAAAGCATGCCGGAAGGGGGAGGGAGCATGGGTGGGGTAATGTGGGGCCTTCTCTCTCACTACAGGAGCATTCCGTGGCACCTTTTATATTTCCAACTTTCAACGCTCCCTTCCCTTCCCGTCCTCTCCTCCCCCCTCCCCCCCCCCCCCCCCCCCCGCATCCCCAAACTCCAGCCACCAACGCCACGAGGCTAGTGACCCTGCACGAGAGCCGCTTCGCCTGGAGCGACACGCACAGCGAGCCGTGGGGCCAGGCGCTGCTGGCTCTGGAGCACAGCATGCCGGAGGGGGGAGGGAAGGGCGTGGTGCGGGCCCTGGCTGAGAAGTACATCTGTGCGCGCGCGCACGTGTTTTATGGCACGGTCTATTCGTCCTTCTCGACAGATATCATCCGGATTCGGGCGGCGGAGGGGATGGCAAACTGCATGGATGGGAAGGTTGGCGAGGAAGGCTAGTAGACTGTGGAGTCAACAGGTTTGCGTATGGTTGGTTGGTCGTTGCTGCGAGTTTTGTATCGAATTCAACACAATGTTCAATCCTGTACATGGCTTTCTTCTTTCCTGTACTTCATTATATGCGGACAAAGAGGAGCTTTAAAATATTGTAAGGGAACATGGAGATCTCGGAGGAACAAGGGAATCAGCTTGAACTTCCCCCCTGCAGCGGCTTCTGGCATCCACGTGTGTGCAATGTGCATGCAAGCATAATCTGCATGCACGAAATGCATTCAGAAGAACGCACGCTGCTGTCGACTGCTGTGCTCAGCGCTTGTGCGGCGCGTCTACTCGTCTGCTGCCTTGCGGTCTTTGTGTGCTGCCCTGTGTCTATTTCTCCGCAGCCTTGCCAACCACCTTGGGCATCTTGTGAGTGCCGGCTGCAGCCACGGGGGGGGGGGAGAGTGGGGCAACAGGGGGCAGGAGAACATGTGAGAGCCTACTCTTCCGCAGCATTGCCAACCACCTTGAACATCTTGTGAGTGCCGGCTGCAGCCACAGAGGGGGGAGAGTGGGGAAACATGGGGCAGGAGAACATGTGAGAGCGGATTTCTCCGCAGCATTGTCAACCACCTTGGGCATCTTGTGCGTGCCGGCTGCAGCCACAGCGCGGAACAAAGGCAAAGCCAGAGACAGTGGGGAGGGAAGAGAGGGAAAAGGGGGCAGAGGGAAGATGACAGGTTGAGAAGGGAGGAGAGAACAAGGTGCAGTGAAACGGTGAAGTGAAACAGAGAAGTGAAACGATGATGTGGCACCAGCTCGTGGTACACCAAATCCACCCTCCCTTCCCCTCTGTACACATACACACACACATACAGCTCCCGCAACAGAAACTTACAGTCTTCCACGTCCTTGAGCTTGTAGTAGTGCGGAGCAATCTCCACCAGCCATTCTGGCTTGATCTCGATCACTTGCCGCATGAACTCCTTGGACGTGTACACCAGCTCGTGGTACACCACCCACCGCGGCAGCACTTGCGCCAACCCCGAGCTGGGGTGGATGTGCACTGTCTGGGGTTCTTGACCGTGCGGTACGTGCGGTTCTTTTGTAGTCTTGCTGTGTGGTAGAAGTAGCCTGCAAGCATAAGGGCACAAAGCAGGTTGGGAGGGGAAAACGAAAAGAGAGGGGGAGTGGTTATAAGCTAGCTCGTGGTACACCACCCACCACGCCAGCACCTGTGCCAGCCCCGAGCTGGGGTGTATGTGCACTGTCTGGTTTGGGGGCTCTTGTCGGTCCGGTACGTGCAGTTCTTCTGCAGTCTTGCTGTGTGGTAGAAGCAGGCTGCACGCAAAAGGCGAGGGAAGGGGCAAGGAAGGAGGCAAAGGCCCGACCTGGGGTGAATGTGCACGGTTTGGGGGCTCTTGACCGTGCAGAATGTGCGGTTCTTCTGCAGCCTCGCAGTGTGGTAGAAGTAGGCTGCCCCAGGGGGCAAGATGGGAGGAGGAAGAGCAGAAACAAAGATGGAGCGCTTATGAGGCAGCTCGTGGTACACCTCACCGCCCACCGCGGCCCTGAGCTGGGGTGGATGTGGACGGTGTGGGTCACGGGGCCCCGAGCTGGGTTCTTGACGGTTTGGTTACTTACGGTTCTTCTGCAGGCGTGCAGCGTGCAAGAAGTAGACCGCAAAACGGTGATGGCCGGGAGGGAGGATGCGGAAAATGGGGCAAAAAAGGGGAGCTGTGCGCAAGCTCGTGATACAGTGTGCACTGGCTGGGGGTTCTTGACCGTTTGGTATGTGCGCGTCCATTGAAACCGTGCCGTGTGGTAGAAGTAGCCCCCAAGGAAGGGGCAACAGGGAAGGTCAGACAAGGAGGGGGCAGGGGGAGTTGGGGGGAAGAGGGAAGGAGGGAAGTTGGGCATCTCCATGCAACCATGCTTTCCCGGGACACTAGGCATCTCCATGCAACCATGCTTTCCCAGGACACTAGGCATTTCTGGGAAACTACACTTTCCTGGGACACTACCCTTTGCGGGACACTAGACTTCCCGGGACACTACCCTTCCTCGGGACACTACCCTTCCTCGGGACACTACCCTTCCCCGGGACACTACCCTTCCTCGGGACACTACCCTTCCTCGGGACACTACCCTTCCCCGGGACACTACCCTTCCTCGGGACACTACCCTTCCCCGGGACACTACCCTTCCCCGGGACACTACCCTTCCCCGGGACACTACCCTTCCCCGTGACACTACCCTTCCCCGAGACACTACCCTTCCCCGGGACACTAAGCTTTTCCGGGACCCTAGGTTATTACGAGACACTAGACTTTTCCGGTACACTCCCGTGCATCCCTCCCATCTCAGCGTTTGGCTATAATGCTTACCAGCAGTGATGGCCTTCTTGATAGCCTCCAGGTCGTTGTTGCTGCTGCTCGGCTCGATCTCCACCCGCTCCAGCAGCCCCATGAGCTGGTCCCGCACGTCCCTCGCCATCTTCATGCTGCGGACCTGATCATGCGGAGGGGAGAGGGGGCAAGTGAGGGGAGGGGGGAGTGTGGAGTAGAGTGGGGGTAGGGGCGACAGAAGAAGCAGCCCCATGAGCTGGTCCCATGCGTCCCTTGCCATCTTCATGCTTCGCACCTAAGGGGCGAGGAGGGGAGAGAGGAGGGCGGAGGGAGAGGGAAGAGTAGTGAGATGGAAGTACATTGTAGCTTCCATCCAACAGCAGCGCCATGAGCTGGTCCCTCACGTCTTGCACCTGATAAGGAAAGAGGAGAGGAGAGAGGGGGAGGCAGGGTGAGGAGGGAGGGCGGGGGAGGGAGGAAGGAGAGGAGAGGATAGTGTGGTGCACACTCGAAGGAGAATAGGGGAGGGAAGAAGCATGGAGACCGGCGACATCACGTTGGGTACCCTAGACAGAATCGTGTCGTCCAACAGTAACTGAACGTGATCGTCACCTGAATGTAGTTCTCATTGCAAAACTGAGAGGAGAAGGACGTCTTGGCCCACTCCTCGTACACCCGCAGCAGCGCCACACGTTCGCCCACATTGCCGGTGTGGAAGTTGACTTTTGAGTCGACTCAAAAGTCAGCTCGCTCGCCCACATTGCCAGTGTGGAAGTTCATACATGTGTGCACCTGCTTGCCCTCCCTGCATCTACAGGATAACTTTTGATTCGACTCAAAAGTTGTCAACGTGGACCTGCACACCCCTACCTGTATACCCTACTTGCATGTGACCCTTGAAAAAAACACCTGCATGCAGGCTTACTTGAATATAGTTCTCATAGCAGAATTGAGAGGAGAAGCTGGTTTCCGCCCACTGCTCGTACACCCGCAGCAGTGCAACATGGTCGCCCACGTTCCCCGTGTGGAAATTCATCCTTGCGTTGTCGGCGTGCACCTGCTTGTCCTTGGGGCGGTAGAAGATGGCATTGCCCACCGATAGCATGGCGCAGATTGTGGCCGCCTCCTCAGAGCAGCTGAAAGGGAACATGGAGGTAGACAGGGGAATGGGGGGGAAGGGAAACCGAGTTCATCCTTGCGTTGTGGGCGAGCACCTGCTTGCACTTGGATGGTAGAAGATGGCTTTTGAGAATTTCCCACCAACAGCATGGCGCATATAGTGGCTGCCTGGGGGGATGCATAGGGGGGGATGCATAGGGGGGGAATGCATAGGGGGGGGATGCATAGGGGGGGGATGCATAGGGGGGGGATGCATAGGGGGGGGATGCGTAGAAGGGGGATGCATAGGGAGGGATGCATAGGGGGGGGATGCATAGGAGGGGGATGCATAGGGGGGGATGCATAGGGGGGGGTTGCATAGGGGGGGAATGCATAGGGGGGGGATGCATAGGGGGGGATGCATAGGGGGGGGATGCATAGGGGGGGATGCATGGGGGGGGATGGATAGGGGGGGGGGGGATGTATAGGGGGGGATGCATGGGGGGGGATGCATACGGGGGAGATGCATAGGGGGGGGGGGTGCATAGGGGGAGATGCATGGGGGGCGATGCACAGGGGGGGATGCGTCGGGGGGGGATGCGTAGAGGGGGGATGCATAGGGGGGGGATGCGTAGGGTAGGGGGGGGGGTGCATTGGGGGGGATGCATAGGTGGGGAAATGCGTGGGGGGGATGCGTGGGGGGGATGCATAGGGGGGGATGAGGGTGGCTAGAGGTATTCGGGGGTCGAAGCCCACCCCCCAAGAGAGAGTAAACAGGGAGGGGAGGCGGTGGGGGGGAGTGAGTAAATGAGAGGGGGAGAGATCGCGCGGTTGAGTGATCGGGCGGTTGAGTGGTCGGGCAGGACATGAGGGCTGGATAGGAGGGCATGGGAAATGAAGGCATGGGGTATGTGGGCATGGGATATGAGGGCAAGGGATATGAGAGCACGGGGATCAAAGTGGATGGCTCCATGTGGTGGTGCGAGGGGATCAAAGCAGAGCCAATCAGGCTAGCATGCTGCCTCTTCCCACTCACTGCCTGCGCTGCCACTGCCCACTCTTTCCCTGCGCTGCCTCTTCCCATTTGCCACCTGAGCTGCCTCGTCAATGACCACCACATCCAAGGGGCGTGACATACGGGAGGGAGAAGACCCCTGACCCTGCGAATGCTAGCGTGGAACACAACACACCATGACCCTGCCGTGCTGCCGTGCAAACCCCTTCCCCAAGAAAATTAGGACAGCCGCTTTCAACCCAACTTGGAAAGAAATGAGCAAAAGTGGGGGAAATAAAGGCCCAAAGAAAGGCACACTCACAGGTATTTATCCGAAGCCACCAGCATTTGAGTCGACTCAAAAACCAAAGAAAGGCACACTCACAGGTATTTATCCGAAGCCACCAGCATTTGAGTCGACTCAAAAACCAAAGAAAGGCACACTCACAGGTATTCATCCGAAGCCACCAGCAGTTTCATTTTGAGTCGACTCAAAATACAAAAGGCCCAAAGAAAGGCACACTCACAGGTATTTATCCGAAGCCACCAGCAGTTTCGACATCTGAGGGTCCAGCGGAAACTCGGCCATCTTCCTCCCCAGCTTCGTGAGCTCCCCTCTGTCGTTCAGCGCCCCCAGCGCATACAGCATCTCCAGCGCCCTCAGCAGCGTTT